TATGTTAGATAAAAGTGCTTTGTCATTGTGGACAGGCCAAGTACAGTAAGGACATTCTAAATGTTAATCTGGAAAAACTGGAAAATGGTACGCTTTTATTTCCCTTAAAAAAACTAGCATGTTCCTAAAGTTAATATGGAAAATGTAAGGAGGAAATTTCCACAGCACTGGTTGGAGAGGGGTAGATATGTTTAAATACTGAATAGGGAAAACCAGTAATTACTACATCAGATGGTAGTTCATGTAAGTCAATTTGTCATTGAGTTGTTGACAAAACTAGAAGCCACACATTCCAAATCTCTGGGATTGAAAAGAGTGAAAAACCAAGAAAAAGTAGCAAAAGAAAAATACCAAGGAAGAGTTAAAATCTGCATAAAAAATACTGACAGAGATAGAGGTGAATTATAAACTGGTTAAATTCTCAATAAGACTTCAGTTGAGCCCGGGATGTAGCTCAGTGGCACCGTGTGTGCCTGGCAAGTGCAAGATCCCTAGTTTGATCCCCAGTTCTGGGAAAGAGAAAAAAGAAAAAAGACCTCAATTGAGTTAAAAAAAAAAAAAATCAATCTCTGATTTGAGATATTTACATTTTTATAAAACAAAGGTTAAATGGCGGGCCAGGGATTTAGCTCAGTGGTTTCGCCATCTGCTGCACTGGAGCAAGGACCGGAGTTTGATCCCCGGTACCAAAAAAAAAAAAAAAAAAGGTTAAATGGGTTTTAAAGTAACAGAAACTCTTTAGGTTATGGAAATGGAAAGCAATGTTTTTCTTAGGCAGAAATAAGGCTATTACAAGATATTTCACATTTAAGAGGTTTATGTGGCATTCCTACGTAAGATTTTTGTTCAGTATCTTGATGTGGGGGGTTTTACTGCTATACATTAATATAGATACATACATTTTACAACATTTAAAATTGGTGTGCTTTATATATTTAAATTCATTTAGTAATTCTTCAATTAAAGGAGAATATATGTAGCAAAAAAATGGAACGCTTGAGAACCTCATCCTTCTAAACATGTTCTCCTTATAGTCTTTCCAGTATTAACAAATGTTACCATTTTCCCAGTATCACTGGTCAGAAATCTAAATATTTACCTTGATTCTTCTCTTTCTCTCAAATCCCATATCCAATCCATCACCAAGCCCTAACTTAAAAAGCAATACTGTCTCACATTACCTCTGCTGCTGCCACCCTGTCCACGCTATCTCTTGTGAATGCAGCAGCTGTCTAACAAGTCTTCCGGCTTCCTCACTTTTGCTTCCCTACAGATCTTGTTCCTTAAAAGTCACCTGAAAGAATGTTAACAATTTTAAATTGGAATATGCCCAAAGACTCAAAACTTTTGAGAGGCTTCCTATTACACTTGAGATAAAATCTCCAACCCTGCAGTGGTCTCAGAGGTTCTCCATGATCTGATACCCGCCTTTCTCTAATCTTCCACTGCCCTCCTCTTTCACTTCTCTCCCTGCATGCTAGGCTTGGTGCAGTCCTTAAACATGTCAAGCTGGCTAGTGCTTCTTGGTCTTTGTTACTGTTCCTTCTGCCTGGAACACTATTCTATAGCCTGCTTAATTTTTCTTCATGGTACTTATGCTACCTGAAATTATACCATTTATCTTTGTTCCTCCTTTAGCTTGTCTAATGCCTGCTTTCCTACCAAAAACAAACCAAAAAATAAGAGCAGGAGCATGTCTTCAGTGCTAATCCTCAGAGCCTACAATACAGAGTTGTTCAATGGATGTTAGCTGCCAAGTGTGGTGATGCACGTCTGTGTTCCCAGCATTCTTGAGGCTGAGGTGGGAGGATTGCTACAAGTTCAAGGCCAGTCTGGGCTACATAGTGAGTTCAAGGCCAGCCTGAACTACATAGCAAGACCCTGTCTCAAAAAAACAAACAAACAAAAAAACAAATCAATGAATGTTAACTGAATGAGTTGTTTATAATTTGGAATCTATTTCTCTATAAAATAATCATTAAAACTTCTTATAAAGCCAACTGAATATATTATTAAACTTTCAAATTAATATCATCCTAGAAACACTGGAATCATGCTACAAGAGAGAAAGGTAAAAATTAGACTCCTATCCCTTCCAGTTGTGGCTCAGCATGTTTCCCCAAAATAAGACCTAACTGGAGATCAAAAACACCAACCCTGATCAGCCTATCCTTGTGTTTTTGCCAGGAGAGCAGCCAACATGCAAGAGAACAGTGAGGTTCCGTATAATCTTCTGCATGACACCAAGGATCACCATGGTAATGATCAGCTATTAATTACAGCTGAAGTTTATTTTCCAGTAAGGTTATTTTCGGGGAAACACAGTGTATCTAGATGTCCCTTTAAAGCCTTAAGTGTTCATTGGTGGGACTTTTGAGAAGTGGCTGGATCATGGGTGTGCAATACTAGATTATGGGTTTGATACTGATTTCCCATAATTCTGGGTGTGGATAATGGGTGTGGGTGGCACCAACCAATAGGCTTGTATCCTGAACAGAATATAAAGGGAAATGGAGATTCCTGCTTGCTGCCTCCTTTCTGCATGCCATGAACTGTTTCTCCGCTGCCATGCCACCCTGCCTTGGAGCCAGCAGACTATCGACTAAAACCTCTACAAATTGAGCTAAAATAAGCTTTTCCCCCTTTAACTTGTGGATGTCCGGTATTTTGTCCTGGTTATGAGAAAGTAACTGAGATACTTCCTGAAAATTTGGCATTTTACCTCCTTTTAATGCTTCTACCTAGTGCTCCTCTGTTGTCCTGAGTTTCTATTTATGGCCCCCCTAAATTGGCTTAGATGTTCAGTTTCCAGCCCCTTTCCCTAATTTCCTTCTCTTCGATTATCTCAACCCTTCACGATTTGTACCTATTTTATTATTTTTGGTAACGGGGATTGAACTCGGAATCTTGCGCTTGTGAGGTAGCTGGTAGAACCACTGAGCTAAATCCCTGGCCCTCTGTACCTATTTTTAAAAGAGTGTGTACTGAATTAATATATAATTTATAATTGGTAGAATTGGGGGCATCAGTACAGTGATGTGGAAAAAATACAGAGTGAACACAAAATACCTGTTGGGCTGAGGATTTAACCACCACAATAATTTTTTGCACATATTAGGCATTAATAAATATTGGTTAAAGGATTGATTAAGTGAAGGCAATCATGCCAAACAAGCTCTCAGTTTTTCCTTGGGTCAGGTCCCCTGAATGGTTCTTTTCTTCCCCAGGAGGCAGAAGTTGTTTTTAACAATGGTTCACTTAACATCAGAAAGGGGTAGCATTAAAAAGAAGGTGCTCAATGGGGGAAAGGCAGAAAAGGGAAATATTTTTTATACATTATAGTTTATTTTAAAGTAAGTTTTGCACTTTTTTTTTTTTCTTTTCTTGGTACCGGGGATCGAACTCTGGTTCTTGCGCTTGCGCAGCAGGCATCGAAACCACTGAGCTAAATCCCCGGCCCTGGGCCTTTTTTAAAGAACAAATTTGATTCATCACTAACAGTACTAAAGCCAGGTGCAATTTAAGATAGTAAAAACAATATATTTTGGAGAAGAAATATTTGTTATCTAAAGCCAGTGGATTTAAAAGGTCTCATAATTTGTAGCTTTCTGAAAGGCAGCAGCTGAGAAATAAAAAAGAGACTTCCCAGGTGGAAATACAAAGGAAGATAGAAGGCAGAACAGGTTCTCAACCCCTACCTAGCACTAGAAAGCACCTGCAGACCCCATTAAACCATGTATCCTTGGCCTTACTGCACAGATCTGTCTGATTAAGTCTTGAGGGTGAAAGAGCTGTAGTTTAAACAAGTGCCTAAGGTGATTCTAATAGGAATGGGCTTGCAGACAGTTATAAAGGTTGAGCAAGCTGCGTGCAAAGCAAAAAGACCCAAATTTAAACCATAATAGCAGGAATAAAGTGAGAACAAATTCTAGCCAAATTTAAGGAATAAACAGAGCCTGGTGCTTTACTGGATATGAAAGATGAAAAAGAATCGCAAGTCCACTAGGATTATATCTGTGGTATAAAGAAGTCTGTAATAAGGACTGGGGATTTAGCTCAGTGGTATCATGCCTGCCTCGCAGGTGCAAAGCCTGGAGTTCGATACCCGGTACCAAAAAAAAAAAAAGTATTCAAATTCAGAAAGATTGGAGGTTTGTTTTGAAGATGAATGTTGAGAAGTAGGATCGTTCTTAAAATGCTAAATTCAACTTTGGCCAGATGGGGTGCTTACAGGACCTTCAAAAGAAATGTCCAGAAGGCACTCACAAATATAGCCTTAGTGTTATATGATGTCCAAGAAATGGAGACAGAGGTAGGGGAATTGTAGGCATCTTGGTGATAGCTGAAGCGTTAAAATTTTTTTTAATTTTTTTTAGAAATGCCAACAAGTATTTGTTTGAATTTTGCGACTAATTCACCGCGTCCATCAGCGAAAACTGCATCAGCTGGGACAAGAGTCTCAGGTGAACCAGGTAAATTCCCCTTCTATGGTAACCTTCAGGATCTCGACCCAAGCCCGAGCAAAACTCTACTACGGAGAAGGCGGATGGATGTGCACTTCAACCTCACAGGTCCGCAGTGCAGAGATCTCCCCTGCTAAGATCCTCACTCCGGAGTGGGTATGGAGATTACAGTCTAGAAACCAAAAGAGTTAGATTCCCATCCCGTCCCAGGAAAGAAGGCGGCTAGGCAGACCAAGGTGCGCGGTTAATCTCGCAAACTTCCGTGCACGGAGTCCGCGAATCCTTCCGCTCTCCCCAATCCCCCTATCAGGCTAGTTCCACTCACTTCTCGAAGGGTCCGGCCCAACATGGCTCTCAGGTTCAGACTGCTACCCCAGGCACCAGGTGGCAAGGAGGAAAAAGGTCAACAGCGACCGCTGGTACTACTGGGCGCAGCCATCTTTGATTGTCACTGGACCCTTCAACACCGAGCCCTTGGATTGGTCGAACTGCAGCCCGAGGACAAGATCTTTACACTCGATTGATTGGTGCCGCAAACCCTCAGTGGAGAAGGAGAACAGGCTAGCAAGGAGACTCCGGACTAGGGTCGCACCGGGAATTCGGAAGCGCTGGATTTTGCGTGGCCTCGGGCTCGGAAGCCAGGTCTATTGTCCTGCTAAGAGCTCCCTGGACAGGGATTGGGGTAGGGAGTGGGGGTTGTATAGCTGCATTTCCCTTTTATATTTTAAAGGGGGAAGTGGGGGTAAGGCAGGGAGGAGATTGGACAAAATACTTACTAAATGTAAATTTTTGATGCGAAGAACGGAATAACAATTCCATAATTTTCAGTTGCTCCATTAGGTTAACTTCACTTTTGAATGCTCAGTTTTGAAATTGGCTAGTGTGCTTAACAGAATTTGATCGCGTTCAGGGGTGAGCATTTGATACATCTAAGTGCATTTTATTGCACTTAGAAGAGCGCTATTCGGTCATTTTTCACAATGGAAGTTTTGAAGACTTGTGTACTTAGAAGAAATGCATGTACTGCGGCTTGTTTCTGGCGAAGCAAAGTTGTACAGAAGCCTTCAGTTAGGAAGATTAGTACTACTTCTCCAAGGCGCACTGTCATGCCTGCTTGGGTGATAGATAGATATGGGAAGAATGAAGTCCTTCGATTCACAAAGAACATGATGCTACCTATCATACATTATCCAAATGAAGTTATTATAAAAGTCCATGCTGCGAGCATAAATCCTATAGATGTTAATATCAGAAGTAAGTTTTCAAGACATTTTTTGTTACCTTTGAAAAATCTTTCATTAGTGCTTAGTTGCTTTTTTTTTAAGGTCAAATGTCTGACTACACTTTGGTTAACACAATGAAATCATTCAGGTTTTTGATAATACCTCTGTAAATGTTATCTGGGGTTTTTTTGTTTTGTTGTTTTTGGTGCCAGGGATCAAACTCGGGACCTTGCGCTTGTGAGGCAGGCGACGGAACCACTGAGCTAAATCCCTGGCCCCTGCAAATGTTATCTAAGAATTTTGAAATTCCAATAGCCATTATATACTTTAATCTTTTACCGAATATTTCTTTCTATGCTTTCGTAAAATGTAAGTTGGGACCTAATAGTTGTGTCTAACAGGTAACTTGGTGTGCTCCTCAGAACTTTGTAGTAATCTGAGGCCCAGCACAGTGGTATATTTTCACATCAGTCTAGAATTTGCATTTTTGCAGTAATTCCCATCCTTTTTGCTCTGTCATCACTAACAACTTTTTTTATTGGTCCAGAATACAAAGCAGCAGGACTCTAGGGTATGGGCACAACACTTTGCTCATTTGTTATTGCATTCTGCCCTTAAAATACTCTTTCTCATTATGCTCCTTTACACATTGGGATAATGTTGATCATCTTAATTCCTGCTGGGGTTACTGACAAAGCTTGGAGAGCAGTTTGTTCCTCAAATATATACTGTACAATAATTGTACTTATTATATTGGTGAAAAGATTGATATTTGAATTTAAGTTTGGAAAGTACTAACAAAGCATTGTCAGTCTTGTTTATGGGAACTCATTTATGTCTTCTTTTAGCATGATAGACCTCAGTGTTAATCACAAAGTAGTTTACCTTAGTGTTTTAAGTAAGCTGCCATATCCAGTTTAATTTAGCCCTTGGTTATTGATTTTCAGGGTTTGTGTGTAGAACTATAGTTACATTGAACAGATTGCCTTGGTAACAATTCTCATATGACTGATGTATGATGAATTTCTTTGTGTGTATCCAACTACAAAATTAAGATTAATGATAAAATCTTGGCCATTTTGTGGAATTTAGAAGATTATGAAAATGTTAAGACTTTGGTTTATTTTCCTTGTTTTCCAGAAGTAGTATTAAGTTACTAGCAATTTTCAAATTTTTTGGTCAAGACTTAAAAATGACTGGATTTTCATATGAGCTGTACCTATCAATATTTGAAATTAGAGTAATGTTAAAGTATGTATAAATTATTTATTTAAATATACAGTAGCATTATAATTTTATATTACGAAAGTATAAAATGACATAAAAAGGACAGTTACAGCCATGAAGGGCTGAAACCGGAAGTAGCTACGAGAGCATGGATCTGCCTTCAGAAAGTTACAGTGAAAAATAACTTCAAAAATAAGCAAAAGAAAAATTTAGTATGACTAGCATTGTTTCACACTTTTGTGTGTCTCTGCAGTCTGGTTTAACAAGACAGCTGGGTTTTCATATATACTTCTATATTCCATCTGTTCTAGTATGTTATTTGAAGTAATTGAAGAAAAGCCAGCCCCACTAAAAGATTGTTGCAAAGGAAAAACTGACTAGACTCCTTGAGAAGACTGGGACATACCACACATGGAGGGAAAGTTCTGGATTAGGGAAATAAAGTCAGATTCATTGGGTCGTTTACTCCAGTTTTGAATGATGCTGTACTTTGTGACTAGACCTGTGCTGTTGAGTATAGTAGCCCCTAGCTAGCCACACGTGGCCATGAGCGGTGAATGTGGCTAGTCCTAACTGAGAGGGCGATCATTGTAAAATACTACATTCCAAAGACTTAGTAAGATAAAAAGAGTAAAGTCTGTTCAGAACTTCATATCAGGACTAGGGGTATGTATGGCTCAGTGGCAGAGTGCTTCCCTACTGTGCATTATTAGGCCCTGGTCTTGATCCCCAGGACTCCAAAAAAGCCAATGAGAATTCTATATTAATTACATGTTAACCTGACAATACTTTGAATCTTGAATAAAATATTCCTAAAAATTAACTTAGCTTATTTCTTTTTACCTTTTCTAGAAAATTATGTGTTGTAGCTTGCATTATATTTCTACTGGACAGTGCCTATCCAGATAATATGATGGAATAACTATTACACATTTCTTTGAGGAAAGAGGTTTGGAAAAAGATTTTGGAGTTGTTTTTCTGTTTTGTTTTTTATTTGTGCCGGGGATCAAACTGGGGACCTTGCTCTTGTGAGGCAGGCATGGCACCACTGAGCTAAATCCCGGATCCCCAGCCCTTGGAGTATTTTTTTTTTTTTTTTTTTGAGACCAGGTCTGGCTATGTAGTCCAAGTTGGTCTTCAATTCACTGTGTAGTCCAGGCTGGCCTTGACCTCTTGATGATCTCCTGCCTCAGCCTCCAAGTGCTAAAATTACAGGTGTGCACCACCACGCCCAGCTAGATTTTGGAGTCTTAATGTGTTTGTGGTTAGAATGCTCTATTAAAAATGAATTGAAATGACTTTACTATGATTGTCTCATTAAGTCTGCTTTTGAATTTTTTGTTTTTGCAGTGCTGGGTGGCAGTCCCAGGGCCTTGTGCATCCTGACAGTCACTTTATCCCTGAACTGCATCCCCAGCCCTGTATTTTTGTTTTGGAGTAATAATTGCTTCTATTAGTTGGTCATACTGTTCTGCTTTATTTTTTAGTCTTCCTTTTACATCGAGCTTGCAGGTAATTTCATTTTATAAGATCCACATGTACAGTCTGTGTGGTATGCCTTTATATTTCAGTGGGGCGACTGCATCTGGACTTTTCTTAGCTGCTGTTTAATAATATAATACTATAACATATTTTGCTTCTGTATAGTATTCTTGAGACATCTTAGTGTTTTACGACTTGGCTGGGTAATATTATTTGCAAGTTATCCTCGTGCCCATGAATTCTTTTTGAGAAAGTGTTATTGTTGTTGCAGAATATATGCGAAATGATAATTTGGGGAAATAAAATAAGGAATAGAAGATTGTAAACTTACAGAAGCAGTTATTTCCCTTGACAAGAAAATAAGAGACATGTCTGTTTTGAAGGATGAAAGCTTGCTATTTTTCTGAGGATGGTCACTATTGTTAGACATAAGATAATAAATCATAGAAATGGTTAAAGCAATGAATAATTTTAAAAATAGAAAAATAATACAGCCAACAAACTTGGTTTCTTTGGATGGGATTAAAGTCTTTGAAACCGATGACAGATTTAGGATTTACCAGATCAGCTCAACTCTGAACAAATCAGGCCTCTGGGATGAAACTCTTAAGGGTCCCATTCATTTGTGCTACCAAGCAGGTTCTCAGTTACTAACTGCCAGCTAGCTGTATTCTGGGTTTGGGGTTAAGTTAGTTACCATTGTCTGCCAGGGATATATAGTTGATGCATTAGCATATTAGGGTTACTGAGAAAACTTTAAAAACAACCTTGAGCAGCCAGCCCTTACCTTAGAGAAGACTGAAACCTTTTCGCAGCTAAATTTTGCCATGGCTAAATGTCCACCTCTGTTGCTTGAACCACATAAAAGTTTGTGAGTAATTGTTTATATTTTATCACTGGAAAAGAAATATAAGACAGGAAAAGTGAGCATGCAATTTTTGTATCACATAATGAACTTTTTTTTTCCCCTAGAAAGTACGGTCCTAACTAGCCAGATGGCAGTGTGTGATGTTGGCATAACGACCATCAGCTTAGATTTTCTGGAACTGCTCCCACTTTCAAATACTTTCTCCCATGTGTCTTGATTTTTCATTGGAAAAACATCTTCTGAAAACTGCCCACCTGTGAGTGTCTCTCCCTGTCTCCACCTTCCCTCCTGCAGTATGGATTAGCTCTCATTGCTCCTATCTAAGCCCAACCCCCAATTTGTGTTTTTCCCCCATCCCTTCTCACCTACTTGGGGTAATGCTGCAGCAGTTCTCTCCTGCATTATCAGTTCTTTTCCTTTTTACTGGATTATTACCATTGACATACAAAGTTGCTATTGTTTTTCCCTCTTGGAAAAAAAGCCACTGAAAAATCCTCTTTTCATTTTATTTGCCCCCTCCTATCGCTCCATTTTCTTGCTTTCCTTAATAACAGAAATATCTGAAAGAGCTGGCCCTTAGTCTGATTCCTTCCCATTGTCTCTCAAGCACACCACACCACAGCGGCTGCTCCTAGGGTGTTCCTCATCCTCCAGAGCTAGGGTCACGTTGCCTCCCAGGAGTGGGCGAGGACTGAGGGAAGACCTCATAGCGATTCTGGGCATCCATTGTGGAATCAAGGGAGGTATATGACCCTGGAGAGGTAGGCAGGCTGCTTCTGGAGAGCCTCATGTGGAAGGACTGGTCTCAGAAACATGTCAGGCAGAAGAGAGAAAAACAGATTCTTTCATGTTTTAGAAAAGTCATTTTATATATTGAATCTGTGTGATAAGCTACTTTGGATTATTGTAGTAGACTAGCCAATTTACTTGAACAAAAACCCACTTATTATAAGAATGTTTTTAGATTTAGCTGATAGTTATGTAAATATTCTTTAAAAAGCTATGTATAATAGAGCAAGTGACCTGATTTACTGTATCAGAATAGATGCATTCCAGTGTATTTTATGCACTCAGGAATCTCTGTACTTACTCTAAAATCATTTTTCTAGAAAGATTTTGTTTTAGGAGGTGGGGACTATTTTTCAATGACCAGTGTCAGGATCAAGTACTTTATACCCACATTTTGTTTATTAACAGGTTTAATGTTTGTCTTCTTCACCAGACTTGGCACCAAATGCCTTTGTTGTTTAAAAAGTTCATAAATGAATAAATTATTAATGATGCCATCTTAAAAGAGCAAAATCTGTGAAATACTGAAAGGTCTGAGGACAGTTTCAAAAGCTGAGTTTCAGAGAGATTTTGAGCAGTGGTGTTGTTGGTATAAATGAGTGTCTGTGACTTTCCAAGTCATTTTCTTTGGAACAACACTCATTTTTTTGTTCTCCTGTGTGATGGTAAAAAATTACTAAGGTAATTATTTTGTAACCTATATTTTAAGATTCTAACATTATACCTGGTTTGTAGTCCTATAATTTTTAAACCATTCTGTTCTTACTTTTAGAATAAGATAAATTGTGTTTTGATGAATTGTATTTTGTAGGTGGTTATGGAGCAACAGCTTTAAATATGAAGCGTGATCCTTTACATGTGAAAACCAAAGGGGCAGAATTTCCTCTGACGCTAGGTCGGGATGTCTCCGGTGTGGTGATGGAGTGTGGGCTTGATGTGAAGTATTTCAAGCCTGGAGATGAGGTGAGCTAATACTTTTGTTTTTAATTCTTTATTCCATTTCTAAATGTACAAATATGGTTCTTTTGGAAGTATATTTTATATTGACCATTTGTCATCTTTTCCATAAATGTACTGACCTTTGGCTGGAACCTTCATGCTCTTGATTCTGTTACCTTTTTTTTCAAATAATTAAAAAATAACTTTGCCAGGTATGGTGGTTCATGCCTATAATCCTAGCTACTTGGAATGCTGATGTAGGAGGATCACAAGTTTAAAAGGCCAGCCTTGGCAACTAAACAAGACACTGTCTCAAAATGAAAACATAGAAAGGGCTGGGGATGTAACTTGCTGCTTCCTGGGTTTAATCCCTAGTACTACAAAAACAAAACCATAAAAAATCCACAAACTTGGACTATATTGACCTTTCAAACTATTTGATTTTTCTTGAAAGAGCCTTTAAATGACAATTTCTACCTTATGGATTAGATTGTTTTAAACTAGCTAAAGTTTGGTGTAATCTTCTGTCATTTGTCACTTTGAACACTTGTGCCAGGAGATTGTAGTGAGCTCATAATTACAGCCATTAATGTTCTGATTGCTTTTCTTACAAAATAACTAATCTCTATGAGATGGGTATAGTCAGGCCCAGTTTACAGATGAGGAAGCCAAGCTATAAAAAAAGGTCCTACAGCGAATAAGTGGTAGAGCCAGGCTTCAAACACCAGAGACTACAGTCTTTTTTTTTTTTTTTTAGGTACCAGGGATCGAACTTGGGACCTTGTGCTTGCGAGGCAGGCGGCAGAATCACTGAGCTAAATGCCCAGCCCCCAGTCTTTAAGTAATGAGTCAATCCAGCGGGCTGTACTGGCATCTGCTTCCATTGTGGTTTGGCTTGATACGTCCTGACTCATACTAAGAAATTTATATCATGTGAAAATGACTCTTTGTTGGTGTATCAGAGAGTGGATTTGTGTTAGGGAACATCTTCATATTTGCTGGGGTCAGAAAATCCCTGTCTGTCAAGAAATTGTGTGTCTGTATGGTTTCAGGTCTGGGCTGCAGTTCCTCCTTGGAAACAAGGCACTTTCTCGGAATTCGTTGTGGTCAGCGGGAATGAGGTAACTCATCATCTCTGCTGAAGGACCATGGGGACATAGAGGCGGACAGATGTCTCTGACATCATTGTTTGTTTTTCAGATGAGGTTCATGTTTTATAGGCAGTTTTTAAAAAGCTAAAATAAAGACTGGGAATTTTTGAAAGATGAAAAAAGGCATTTGGTATCACTTCAACAGCACTGCCCACCAGAGCAGTCGTCTTTGTCTCGTGGAACAGAGATTTGGAATGAGATCTAGAACTCTGCTGTGTGTTTTTTTTTTTGGTTCTTCTACCAAGTGTAAACAGCTTGAAAACAGATTTATCCAGTGGAGAATATGGATTAATCATAAGCAGAGACATGGAAGTGTCAAGCTGTTTTGAACAACTTTAAAGACAACAGTGTAGCTGGTGTGGTAGCGCGTGCCTGTAATCCCAGGACTCGGGAGGCTGAGACAGGAGGATCAATGTGAGGTCCAGGCCAGTCTGGGCTACATTGTGAGTTCAAGGCCAGCCTGAACTACATACACAGCAAGACCTTGTCTCAACCCAAAAAAAGAGGCAGTGTAATTAAGTATACATTTTGAATAGAAAGGGAGAGGTTAACATTGGGGAAATTGGTTAAGAAAGGGAAGCAGGAAAGAGGAAGGGAGGGGTATCACTAAGATTGGAGAAAACCTAGAAAAATTACTTCGTAGAAAAGGAGGGCAAAGGAAGTAGTTGTTCCCCAAAACAAATTAGAATGTGTTTGAGGATTTAAGGTTTAATGGTTTTATTTTTAGATATACTTACAACTAATGAGAATATTGCATGTGGGCTTTTTATTAATGATGAAATAGCTAAATTGAATAATGTATCATGCAAAACATTACTGAGCCTTTGTGAGGTGCTACTTGGAGAGAGCTACTTGGAGAATATTCCTTAGGGATAATCTTGGAATAGGGTGTCTAGTAAACACTGACCCTGGAAGATTTTTATAGATTTATCTCTGAAAATACTAGGATTGCTAAGAAGGTAGATGTGCTTACTTATGCTCATAGGCCTGTTTATTTGTGACTGTTGTCTTCAAATACAGGTCTCTCACAAGCCCAAATCACTCACTCATATTCAAGCTGCTTCTTTGCCATATGTGGCTCTCACAGCCTGGTCTGCCATAAACAAGGTTGGTGGCCTGAATAACAAGAACTGCACAGGAAAACGGTAAGTCTATTAATGGCAGCATCTAACCATCCCTTCTTTCCTTTGGTTAGTTCTTAGCAGTAGATTTATCAGAAGCATTGAAATTAGTATTATATACATGATCGAAGTTCTGCTGACATTTGGAACAAGTTCCAAAGAACTCTATTTGTGTTGATTATACTCTTTTGAACTGAAATGTGTAGATGGGCTTTAGGAGTCCAAACCTTCTAAAATAATGTAAAATTTTGAGTGGGAACATCCCTGAGATGAAGGTCCATAGCTTTTATCATATTCCTAAAAAGGTTACAAGTCATCCCACACACTTTAAGAATGACATCAAGGTGAAGGTGTTTTATTCATACACTTTCCAGGAGCTGCTCTCACATTTGTTTGTTTCCTTTCCTTTCCTTTCCCTCTCTCTCTCTCTCTCTTTCTTTCTTTCTTTCTTTTCTTTTCTTTTCTTTTCTTTCTTTTCTTTCTTTCTTTCGAGTTTTTGAGACAGGGTTTCACCATGTAGTTCAGGCTGGCTTTGAACCAACTGTGTAGTCCAAGTTGGCCTCGAACTCGAGTCAATCCTCCTACCTCAGCCTCCCAAGTGCTGGGATTACAGGCATGTGCCACCACACCCAGCTTTCTTTTGAGTATTTCTATGAAAAGCAAATATGAAGGGGCTGCAAACCGCTATTGAATATTCATGATGCTTTAGGCCCATTCTGATGCTCCGAAGACTTGAATGTATGCTTGTTTAAGTTGGTACCAATGCAGTGCCTATAAATGTCTCAGATGTATAGTCATTCTCTCATCTGCAGGTTCACCTTCATCACTTTCAGGTAACCTGTGGTCCATCCACTATGGTCTGAAAGGGTGAAGGTAGCACAGTAAGATGTTTCAGAGGAACTGAGAATGAGAGGGAGAGCCCCTATGTTGACATAAGTTTTATGACCTGTTGTTATGTGTTCCTAATTAATTATGTTTTTGTTAATTTCTTACTCTGTCTAGTTTACAAATTAAACTATCATAGGTATGGGGAAAAAAACAGAGTGAAAACGGGTCATTGCCATCTGTGGTTTCAGGTGTCTGCTGAGGTTTTACAACATACTCCCTGTGGATAGGGGGACTATTGTATTTGAGGTCCTGTCCAGATTCTCCTGCTTTCTACCTCAATGACTTACTCAATTGATTTTTTTTTCTATGAGTTTGTTTTGAAGATTAATAACATATAAAACTGGTGGCACAGGTTGTGGCACATAGGCATTCAGAAAATGGTGGCTATTAGCAAGGAGATTATAATATTTGCTTTAAAAAGTTGGTACCATAGAAAAAACTGATCTTGTTTTTTTTGTTGAGAAAACTGTACTGAGAACCATTAATGTAAGGGAGGAGAGAGCTGTAGATAAAATTATAATAAATTAAAGCAATATAGTTCTTTTTTATTAAGGAGTTTTGCAGGTAAAATAACGTCTACGTCATTGTATATTCCTATTATGAAATAGTACACTTTACATTTAAAGTACTGAGTGCACTTTACATTTAATGTACTGAGTGATAAAGTGCTAAATTTAATGAAAGTTTAAACTATTCTGAAAGCATTGTGAAGACTGTTCATCTAATGAGGTGCTATCATTTATCATAAAATTCAAAGCAAATCTTTCCTCTAAAGGTCAACCTTGTTTATTTTTAAAGCTTTTCTGGCCTATCTTTTGAAGTTGCCATTTTAGTCAAACTGTTTACATTAAATGTATTTGACCACAGATTTTTCTAACGGTCTATCTTAACAACCTTGCAAAAATCTCACTCCAGATTTTTTAGACCTTTATTGTTGTTGTAGGGTTTGCAATGAAATTGATGCTTTGTTTTGTTCTGTTTCTCCCTTAAAAGCATTAGGCTTTGTATGCCTGCATGACTGTATGCATACTATGGTAAGAGAACTTGCATTCCTTTGTTTTAAGGCCCTCGAGGAATACTTTTAATATATTGTAGAAAGCAATTTAAGACAAAAATCTGACTGGCTGTCCTTGGATGGAGGTATGAACTCCTGGCTTATTGTAGGCTTTGTGGATAATTCTTTGGTATGCTGTTATGGTCTATTTAGACAATACTGGCCTGAACTGGGAAATTGGAGCCCTGTATCCTACTCTCTGCCAGCAGCTAGGCAGGTGATCATATACAATGTGTGGTCTCTTTGGAGTGTCCTCTGAGTCACTGAGTGTAGGACACTATAGATTAGTGATGGCAAACCTGTGGCACATGTGTCGCAGTGGGCTGTTTGTATCATTGAAAATTCTAAAAGGTTTACCATCACTGGTATAGATAGTGAGGAGAACATTGAGAAGTAGATAATTTTATACCTTTTGAGACCATTGTCCTGTATTATACAGAGTTAGATCTGTTTATTGATTTAGCCACATTAGTTAACCTAAAGTAAAATTCATTGTAAAGCAACTTAATAATTTACATTGTGAACTTCTTTTGTATTCTCATATGTGTAGTGACCTGTGGGATGCATATGTTGTGAGTGATAGAGAGACCCTGCTGTCTGTCTCTTCAGGCTGCTGTAACAAAATACCATAAACTGATGGCTTTCTCACAGTTCTGGATGCTGGAAAGTCCAAGATCAAGATAATGGTAGATTCCATGTCTGATGAGGGCAGATTTCTTGTTCCTAGACAGTGTGTTCATGTTTTCCCTCTCATGCTGGAAGGGGCCAGATATTTTTTGGGTTGCTTTTAAGAGCATTGACCCCATTCATGAGGGTTCTACCTGCATGACCTAATCACTACCATACCATTACCTGGGGGTTATGATTTCAACACCTGAATTTTGGGCAGATTCAGACATTTGGATGATAGCACTTAACAGTTGTCACTCCCGGAAATGTCAGTTTACTGAAGTTGCTACTCATGGACTATAATAATGGCCCACTTCTTTGCTTATTAGTGAGAATTACAAGAGAGATGAGCACCTTAAAGAACTATAAAAATCTGTTTTTTGGGGTTTTTTTGCAGTGCTTGGCACATGTTAGGGAAGTGCTCTACCACTGAGCTACATCCCCAGCCCAAAAGTAGTTCTAATGAAGAAATTATATAGCAGCATTTTATTATACTTAAACTCAGAGGTTCGAGTACCCTAAGTGAATTTTTTTTTCATTCTATTCATTGTGATTGGTGGAACCTGTTTTAGCTTCTCTAAGCAGTAATTATTCTTTTTCTGTTACCTACAATATTAGCATAAAGGCATACTTTAGTTTGTACAAAACAGGCCAATATTTGTTATCAAGTATTTACAGTCTGTTTTTTAAACCATTTAAGGAATTAAAAGCAAAAACTGGTAATAATAAGATGAGCATAATGATGTACACCTATAATCTCAGCTACTTGGGAGACTGAGGCAGCAGAATCACAAGTTCAAGGGCAGCCAAGGCAATTTAGTGAGACCTTTTCTCAAAATAAAAATAAAAATAAAAAGAGTTGGAGATGAGTCAGTGGCAGAGTGCCCCTGGGTTCAATCTCCAATACTGCCACAAATTTAAAAAAAAATGAAAAAAATTCACTATCAACATCTTGAAAGATTTTTATAAGATTTTTTTTTTTTTGTGGTACTGGGGATCAAACTCAGGACCTTGCATTTGCAAGGCAGGTGTGGCTCCACTGAGCTAAATCCCCGGCCCTTTATAGGATTTTTTGTAACTAGCAACTTCCTGAAATTAAGACACTGCTTTCTAAGAGTCCAGTGGTGTTTACCCACCTGTTCTTTCTTAGTTATCTAATTATATTTCTGTAACAACTGAGCATTGGTGAACCAAGAGGAATTTAATGCTGATGTCATATAATGTCAATTTTTTCTGTATTTTGGTATCACTAAAAATATCAGATTGACTTATTCCCTTGTTATCAACCTATCTGTAGTTTCGTTGATTTATTTGTAGGTAATTTAGGGCTCTAAAGATGAATAGAAATATTTTTAAAAGTTGTCACAACTGATACTTTGTGAATGTGGTATAATCTGAAGGCTTTATTTAATGGTGGTATCTTCTGTGCCCTTGAATATTTCATGCTCTGCCTGAAATTCATCTCTTGCTGGGAAAATTGTACTTCACTCTGTTTGACAGAAGTATTAGAAAGTGTTAGAAATTGAATCATTCCTCTTCCACAAAATAAATTTCACTTTTAAATTCTGTATGCTGGAAACTCAATACAGTGAATTTAGCAATAATTTTCAGTTTCTTTTTTGAGATTAGTCTCTGACAGTGAAAGTTTGTCATGTAAGTGTAAATTAGGTGTCTGATTAATTCTGTTAATAAACAGGCTCAAACTTAAAAACACCAATCCTCCTCTCAATATGTTTATATTAAAATTAAAATGGCCATTTGGCAATCCTATGAGCTTTCTTCTTTCATATGTCTTCTACTGCCTGTCCTTTACCTCCCCACCCACGTAATTTCTTCCCACTTTGCTCCACCACCCCTGTGGGCTTTGGCTTTTCATCTGTACCTGGCCAAGTCATTTTGGGTAGGGGACAGGTTCAGTTAACAGAAGAGTAGAAACCCCACTCCTGGAAATTTTAGTTTTATAGGTACCCTCATGAAGTCAGAGGTAGGTTGCCAAACCCAGTGATACTTCTAAATTCTTTTTCTGGTGTGATCTCTCTGAAGTATCTGGGACTGTTTTAGGGACACCAAACTCCTTTACTTTTCTTCTTGCCTTTTGACCATTTGTCATTTTAAAAAAGACTTTGTCTTCTAGCCCTTTAAGTTCTAAGTCTAACCTCTGTACTGAGTTCCAATTAGATGTTTCCTTTGTATTTCAAACTCAATTTATAGAAAATGAAACTTAACCAAGTATCACCCCAGCTATCATCCTAATGTCAGTTAATTGTGATTTACCTTGAGCCAAAACTTGTTATTCCTAAACCCAGTTTCCTCCCTTTCTACCGCTCATATCATATAAAACTTAGGATTGTTGTCAACTTTTGAACAATGCCTTTCAAGTTTCTTTTATCAATGAACTAAGATTTCAAGGCAT